TTACCGAAAACTTAAGGAACAACAGAATTTCTGAATTTTTTACCAGATACATGTAAGATTCAAGTTTGTATGGAAAAGTGCTCAATAAAGTTTGAATTTCTTATTATTACTATTATTATTATTGTTATTATTATTGTTGTTATTATTATTTTGTGTTGAATTTTAATTAAAGCCGTTTAGTTCAAATTTCAAATCACACGCATTTGACATTTTGGGCACCAAAAGAGAAAAAAATTGGCTTTATTGACTGCAGTCTGGCTCCAATATTACTTCACCTAAGAATATTCACAAGAATATTTTCAGCCTAAAATCGGCAAAAAATAAGAATATTCAGCATGGGACAGAAAAACAATATTCTTAGAAAAAAGAGTGTATTTTTATTAAGGTTTTCTTTTCTTTTTGTTGCTAATGCCTCGCCAATCCATCTGAAAACTAGAAGATCACAATAGTTTCTTCTCCTCAGTATAACACCCTTTTTCTGCGAAACCAACAAGGATTGAATTCACAATAGACATGCGAATTCTTGCAGTCCACAATGAAAACATATCAGCTTCACATCCAGAAAATATTTCTGTTGTCAAATTTGCAGAGATTTTCTCAGAATTCACCATTTTGAAGCCGCCCTGCTCTATCCAGTAGAGAGTTTCCCTGTCACAGCGGCATCCACCAGTCACAGTGGGCCAAATTAGTGACTTTGACAAGAAGTGCTGAACAAAGTATTGAAAGGTCCATGGATTGCCTATGGGAAAGAAGTAAATAAACAAGCTGTTATTTAAAGTGTGGTTGAGAATTATTTTGCCTTTTTTGTGGTATGAGTGTGGTGATGTGGTTTGAGAATGGTAAAAAATGTACCCTGGTTCCAGAGGTTTTCTCTTTTCTATTTCTCAGTTAAATGTGTTGAAAACCTCTGGGACCAAAATAGATGAACACACTTAAGACTGGCAATGTAGATGAGAAGGACATAATGTGTCTATCAGTGTTAAGCCCAAGAAGGGGAACCCTGGTCACATGTGGGGCATTTAACTTTGATTGCCTTCCCCACCCTTGGGAATTTGACAAAGAGTCTGGGCCCCAGGGTGGGGACATTTGATTCTTTGGTAAAAAGGAATGGAATCAAATCACATCATCACATCCTCATCTGTGCAATCATCTTGAAATAGTTCTTGTGGAGAAGAACACATGTGTTTTGGAGTTAAGCACCTGTTTTCAAGGAATAAAACAACTACTCACTACTCACTTTCAACATATTTTGATAGAATACCTTCCTTTGTGGAGATTGTGTGGATTTTTAATTTATAGACAATCAAGTGCTGGAATTAATATTTTACATTCATTGACAGCGAAAAATTATGCCTCTGTTGAAATGAATAGACACCTAAAGGGCAACATGCTACAGCATTACGCTAAGGTGGGGATATTTGATCTGACTTCACTTATTTTCCCGGCCCTACCGTAGGTATTTTGACCAAAAATTCTTTTGAAAAGTTGAATGTCTCACATGTGTCCAGGGTACCCCCCCCCCCCTTGGGCTTAACATTGATGGACGCATAAGATGCAATCTTGATGAAATAAGCTGCAGATGCCATTCCAATGCAGAGGTTTTGCACAAAAATCATATTATCTTGGGAGGTCTCTCAAGAAGATTTGTCATACCAGTTCCATGAGAGTTGTCATGACTCTTCCAGTGCAAAATAATAACTTTAACCACACGTACCTGCCACATGTTCAAGAAAATAGAATCTGCCACCCTAAAACAAAAAGACATTGATTAAATTATCTATAAGCAAGCTCTCTAGGTTATCTCCTGGTTAGTGGGCTCGTCTCTGGATTAAGTGCTCTGGGGTCAAGTCCTGGCCTTAGACATTGTGTTGTGTTCTTTCCTCTCAGTGCCTCTCTCGACACAGGTGTATAAGTGGGTGACAGCAATTTTATTACTGAAGGTAACCCTGTGATGGACTAGCATCCCATCCAGGGAAGAGTAGAACTACAGAAACCAGAGATAAGCGCCGGCCTGATGGTTCACTTAAGAGGCATGGTGCCCTCATGGTCAGAGCGCTTGACTCAGAGCGAGCAGTCTGGGTTTGAGCCCTGGCTGGGAACACTGTGTTGTGTTCTTGGGCAAGACACTTAACTCTCACAGTGCCTCTCTCCATCCAGGAGTATAAATGGGTACTGGCAAATTGTTGGGGAAACCTAACAAATTGCGGGGGAGTGACCTGCAATGGACTAGCATCCTATCCAGGGGGAGTAGAAATACTCCTAGAAGCTTCATGCTACAGAAACC